TTCTCATTAAACAGCTCTTGCATTATTTAATTTCCCACAATCAAGTTAAGGAAGGGGAGGAGGGAGGGGGGCGGCGCTAATCAATATATCTCCAAATCATCTCTTTGATTAATTCCTGTCATGTTCTCTGCTTCAGTCTAGACAATACCTTTAGGTTATATTTACGTGACAATCCATGATGTCTTATGGCATATACATAAAGGAAGATTGCTCCAGAAATTGTCTTGTGACAATGACAATTTCAGACTACAAAAATATTAAAAGCAATAATTGTCTAGATTTGAATGATTTTATAAAAATGACTTTTGACTCTCAGAAAATAATAAAACAAAGGTCAATACACTGCCAATATTCTTTTTTATCTGTCTAAGCCCATATATCCAATACAAGCACCCTTTATCATTCCTTTTTTTACTTATGTGAAAAAGACAAATGTTACATAACAAGGCAAGGTTCTGACAGCAAAAGCCTTAATTGTTACTGTCTGACTGTTAGAGACTACTACAACTACAAACATACAGTCCCATACAGTGTAGCGTTAAAATTTTACTGACTTGAATCATTTACTTCTCTAAATGTTTGCATAGTGTACAAAGAGTCAAAACACTGAATCTGGTGTTGGCTCACAGCACTCCAGGACAGGGGGCATGTCCATCGACCCTGTTACTGGATCTACTGTACTCTGTCGTCACCACTCATTTCTCTGTTTCACTCGTTTTTTTTATTCTAACATATTTAATATTTAATATAAATGATTCCATAGTGGTATTTCCCGTTATATGTTATATTAATTTCAATAATATCTGATATGCCGAAGGACAATTCTAGGACATTCAAAGAAGCACTCTGATCTCTAAAAATAATAATAATGAAAAGTTTTCCCTTCATTGAAGTTAGCTGCAAATTTAGAAGTATATTATTGTTTTTAAGAATGTTAAATACAAGACAGATATTACATCTGTATCATATTAGATACTTGATGTGTAAAACCCATTAAATTAGTGTGAGAAAATAGATGCACGCGTAACCCTGACATAAGCTTGAGTAAATAGTTGGCTTTGTTATGAAAGCATGAAATCAGTAAGGTATACTCAAAGTCCATAGGCTTCTTTTGAGAGTGTAACATGGATTTCTCTCTCTGTGTGCTGATCATTTTGTCTGTAGGATGTTGCCCAGGCTTGAAAGGCTTTTACTTTGGTGAGCTGGGACTGTCTCGCAATCAATCATGTGCATAATTTTAATAAGACTTCATCTTCATAGTTATAGTTGGAGCCCACCGGGGCTTCTTTTCACTGTCTGCCAAAGTGAGAGATTAAAGTTGTCTACAGTACAGCTTTCTGACATCATTCAGAGAGGCAACGCTAACAACCGGTCTATCCTGTTCTTGCTCACTGGACAGTGAGGGTCAAGGATGAGGTGCCCCTTTCAGGCCCACAACCACTACACAGCAGTTTACCCACAATCCTCTGCTCTGTATTGCTCAGCGGCTTTGCGGCTGTGATTGGTTTAAGATCTGGTCCTGTTTTACTTTGTTTGTTCACTTGTATGTGTCCCTTTTATCACTGCAAATCAAATTTAGGTGATTTAATATTTTAACTTCACCGCCTTAAGGGTGACAAAAATCTTACAGTTTTCAGGTTGTCCCAACAGATATATTTTGGGCACAGAAGAGGACAGTAGTATGTGAAAAACTGGTGTATAATTAGATGACAAAGTTGACTAAAGTAATAAAGTCATTTTTTGCCTTATTTGTGTGAATTTGACTGCTGGACTGTTTTTGTCTGTTTCTTCGCCCCAAAACAGCCAATGTGTCCAGATGTGTACAGATGTTAATGATCGATTGTTAACTTTTTTTTTAGCTTGGTGTAAGCTGATGGGTACTTAGCCTTGCATGTCATTGCATATCTGAAAGCTTGGTCAAAGGTGCGGGTTAGCCACAGTAGTGAGAATGTGTCAGAAAGAGACATTTTTATTGGTAATCAACTATGAGTGATTCTAACTGTAACTGATGAAGTATGTTTAAATATTGAACCTTTTTTGGCTGTGGTAGCCTTCAGTGTTACAACATTGTATTGTATGCAACTAGAGAAGTAAACACACTAACCTTTACTAGTGTGTGTGTGTGTGTGTGTGTGTGTGTGTGTGTTTCTGTAAAGGACTGTATGTAGAGGGTCTACAGTCTCTCAGGTGTTCCTGTGAACAAGCTCCTTTTCACTGCTCACAGAGAATAATGTGCTCTAACTGATTTAGCAGCAAAAATTTTATTATTTCATTTCGACTAATTACATCTCCTCTGCACTGACATGAGGACAGGCTGCACTGCATCCTCCTCTTCATCGTTCTCCTCCCTCCCTCACTCACTCAGCTTTATGAAGTTTTTCAGTTGACTGAAACGGTTGTAATGAAATGCAATGTTCGTTATTTGTGAAATTGGGAGTTAATAAGCCATAACACACATTTTTGAGAATGTAATTGACCCAAGAAAGATTAATAAAATACTTGCGCTTCTTATTTTGTATGCTATTTAAGGTATGTGTACTTATCATAAATTTATCTTTTTGATAACATTTACATCACTACATGTTTAAAATAAAACTTTAGTACTAATACAATCATTCAGATGACTACTTGCTACAAAATGAGCTTGTTTTCTAATAAATAACACACTATTCTAATAGTTTTATCCCTTGCGGATATCAAGTTTGTAGCCATGAAATGAAATGAAATAATAAAGAACAGTTTCCTTACTAAATCTACTTTTTCTTTTTTCTTTTTAAAGATATTCCATTGTTTGCATTTTGTGTTCTACCACCACACTTGTGTATGCCGCAATAGCACTTGAGAAGCTGATATAAATAGTTTCGAAAACAACACAAAATGCTTTGCAAATGTTCATTACAATGCAGGAAATACATTAAGAATATACCTAATGTGTTTTGGTGAGAAATGTTAAATTTATATCAGGAAAATCATGTCAAAACTCCACTGGGTACCTAAGTCATTTTCCGTCTTTACTTTGAGTATGAGTTTTAATTATTTTTTACACTGCTGTCGAGTCAGACCATTTTCATAAATTCAATATTTCATCAAGGTAACAAGCACACATGCACACACACAGTTTCACGTGTAATCCAGTTAAAATGGCTGTAATATTTAATTCATATGAGAATCATTAAAAGTGCAGTAGTGCCGTGTCCATTATGCATTCCTTTTCTAGCAGGATAAAACAGTCCTCAGATGTGGGAGCTGCACTTTGAAGTGTTGTCTCAGAAGCAGGCAAACTCTTACAGGAAGTCCCTGATGTTTAAAACATGCCATGCAGGGGGACTAACAAAGGTGAGCACTTGTGGCTTGCCCCAAGATGAGCCAAAAATGGCCAGCCAGGAATTTGGGCTGGATCTGATAGACTGCGTACACGGACATCAAATAAACAAGAAGCAGACAAATATACACATGGGTAATGGTGAAGTTGTGAGAACACAAAATACAGTTACGAAGACACAGCAGACATGAGGAGTATGTGCCTTGTTGCCCTTCAAAATGGCAGCAAGATGATTTAGACACAGGAGCATAAATAATGCTCATTCGTCCAGCTGACTGCGACGGTACAGGCTATTAATCTGTTTGGTTATAATGAGAACTCCTTTTGTACAGATAGCCTCAAGACTGGCATTCTCTATTTAATGAAATCATCCACCATGGACACGTGTGGGACAAATTGCAATTTAACAGCTGAGAGGAGACATTAGCTTATTATGCATTAGTGTTAAAATGATTCTTTAAAAACATAATCTGTACCGGCTTGATTTAACTGAATCATTGTGATTCGATTTGCCTTATTACATTCAATGTCCTCAATTGAAGTTCTGATGTGTTTATTATTAAGTGTATCAAAATATACAAAACCCTATGTTTGCAAGTGTTTGCAATAATCACTGAATCAGTCGTGAGTATAAAAACTGTGGTTCTCAGTTTTTCAGGACTCAGGACCACCCTGGGTTTCACTCCAGGCTTACAATCAGGGACTCATTTGCATAGGCGAGGTAAATGCAAGCCAAGTTTCAAGCTGGGTGTCCCAAGTTCTGACAAACACTAAATTGTCCTGGTTTTACCACAATTCAAAAAATAATTAGAATTTTATACTTGTTTTCAGCGCTTGCACGTTTGTCATGTTCTGTCCTATCAATGAATACCTAACCCAATATAAAAACGCACCACATGTCTGAATTCAACACTGTATGTGTGTCAGCCACCTATGCTAGCAGGTAGCTGTCATGCTACATGAAAAAAAGGTTGGTCTTTTCCAAAGTAAACTGTGAAACTGTTAGGCTCACGTTTTTGCAGGCGAAAACTTCATGTTTTGCCAACCCTGGTTAGGATTTTAAAGTTGGACTCCACTTTCCTGTATTTAATAAGATCTTGGCTTCTGATTTAGCTGATTGTTTTTATTATCTAAAAGGTTGGGACTACAGGGAGGATTTGCAATGACCTCGTTCAGTTTTGCTGTGTCTAGGAATTCTCTGAGAGCCATTCTGGGAAGGCTTGAGTTGGCCTTTGTTGTGGCCAGACGGTGACAGGGACATGATAACTTTGTGAGCGTGTTTTCATATATTTGCACACATACTCAGTTTCCATTTTCGTGTGTTTCCCTAGTTGAATCTGTGACTGTAGTTTGATGGTTAAAAAGCCTTCTAAGGGAAGTGGGTGCCGTGAAGATAACCTGTGAGAATGTGCTGAGCTGGGCTGGATGTTCTGCAGGAAGGAAAGTGCGGTGATCCACAAGCAGGAACTCAGATTCTGTCAACTTATTACACCCCTGCACACACGCACACACACACACACACACACCAACCCCCCTAACTGCCATCTGTATTTCTGCTTTAGTCAGGCCTTTCCTTGACCAAAAACACACACTAGTACTAACACACACAGGAAATGGCCCGTGTGGCTCCCAAATAAGCTGATGTGTCATGCCTTCCTTTCCAATATTTCTGCAAAAGCTCAGGAAGGAGGCTGCAGCACCTCTCTTCTTCTTCCTCTTCTTCGCCCCGTGTCTCAGTGACACACAGCTGTGGCCGTGACAGTTCTTGTTCTTCTATAAGAATTTGCAGCTCCTGCGGTGGGAGACGCTGCCACTCTGGGAGCCATGAGTCGTTGTTGTGTGGTCAAAGTGATCACCCTGACAGAGATCCAGCTTCTACAGGTAGGGGGAGCGACTCAGCTACACAGGCCAGGGAAATCGGAACACAGATAGATAGATGGATGGATATAGAAAAAGGCATATGTGTGTAACTGTGTGTGCATTTGTTTGTGTTTGCATGCAAATTGTCTGTGCTTTGTAAAAGGCATGCACCTACAACCAGAATAACTGAATAGCCACCGTGGAATGCAAACTTTGTGATCAGTTTGCTATTCCAGTCTTATCTTCCCTCACATTTCGCAATCTAGGGTGTGTGGTCACAGCTATTTACTGGTTCGCAGGCTCAGCAAAAATAAAGTAAGCTTGTCTGAGAAGCCTTTTTGTTCCACTTTCATCTTATCTCTGTAGATTCAAGATGGGAAAAAGATAATTGAGCATTGCTCCTCTGCATTCCCTAACTGTTTCAATATGTTAATAAAATACAGAATTTTGCAGAAATGAATCCAAACCTCCTACCAGGTTTTGCCCATAATTTGTACAGCTAAGTTAATGTCACCATCACCCAGTGTTTCATAAGTTCTTGGATTTTTCTGAAGTGAAAGGAGAACTTGAGCAATACTGAAACTGAGTTAGGCAAGAGGTTTTCATTTAGGAGAAACACCTGTAAGTTTGTCTGTTACAATGGCATTGTGAGTGCAGCATTTCTCAGTGGGACTAAAGAAATACACCTTTTAACTTGGAGGTAAATCATATCACTATTAAATACATCTCACAAATGGAGGCTGAAGAAATCATGATTTGAGAGAACACATTAAACTGGACTCTAAGATTTAGCACTGAGGGTTTGTGTCTGTAAAAGTTGCCTTTTTATCTTTTAGTGCAGAATTTGTGGTTTTAATTAGTCATATAATTGTGAATATATGTCCTGTAATGTAGGATATGGCTTATTTTCTCTTGAGGGTGATAAAGTTATTAGATCATTGCTGCAACATGCTTTAAAGTTGCAATCCTGTGCACTTGCTTGAATGAATCAGCTACATATTCTATATAACAGCTGGGGGAAAAAATGTGTGTAATGCGACTTCACTGGAGGGCATAGTAGAGTATTTGTTGGATTTGATGAAGCTGCTGCATGCATGTTAAAACCAGTGTACGTACTCAAATTTTGTTAGTGAAAGAGTTAGGAAAGGTTTAATTGAGAAAGAAAAAGAGAAATGGGTTGTGTGTGTGGAACGAGGGAGTTGTCTGCTTCTGACATCTTTATTTGAGTGGTCTAAATGTCTCTAATGAAGATAATGAAGTTAAAGGGAGATGTAGCTGATTTCCTAATGTCCTTTCAGCTGGACGCAGGAAGCACGAATGCAAACCGGACAAATATTATTTTATTATTAAAGCGTTACGAAATATGATAAACTGTGCTGAAAGAAACTGAAAGGATATATTAAAATATTGTTGCATCAAACAGTGGCCATATGCAAAACTGTCGGGAGCTGCGTACAAAGGAAGAAATCAAATGCATTCACTGACATCATTGCTTTGATATCAGTAAAATGTGAATTTTAGCCCGACATAATCTGCTATGGGTTTGCACGACAGGAATAACTGTGCAAATGTGTGTAGATGGAAAGTGAACCTGTGACCTCTTCTCTACCAGTAACCACAAACAGGGCCTCAATTGTTGTAGCAGGTGCAAGTAGCCGCATTGAGAAAAACTGAAGTGTGTCAAACTTCAGAATAGTCACTACAATCCCAAACTTGAGCCATGATTGATTAGATTCTTATCTCATTCCTGTCCCCATGTGTATGGCGGACATTGATAATTTTCAGCATGTCCTCTTCACACATGCACAGGCCTGCCATTGTCGAGGTTGGCCTCGGTGACTGAAGCACCATTACTTCTCAAATCTAATCAGATTCCCTTAAGTGGATAACAAGCGTGTCTCCGGCATTTACAGTAGTGAGAAAGCTGAAGTGAAACCAGGACAAACTGTTGTCACACAAAGCAGATGTGGTGTGTAGCAGTCCTGGCATCCCTCTTGCTATCCGTAGTGGAAAAAAATGTTGATTGGCTAACAACTGGCATCTTGTTTGGCCTGAAGAAGTCAGATAAGAGCTCTCAGTCACTACTGACAAGTTGAGTATTGTGATGAGCCTGTTCTTAGTTAGGTGAATAAGCGCAGCTAGTTTAGCTGACTAGGAGAATTTAATGCTGAGTTTTAGTATAAAGTTTTATTCCGAAGTTGCCATCACTAAAAGTACCTATCACTATTTAGCAATGTTGCGCTAGTTAACATTTAACCCATAAAAACTGTGGTTGTTGCTAAATGTCCGAAAACATGGGCTACTTACTGGCAAGCTACTCATTTAACAATGTCTAGCAATTCTTTCTGTCAGATAACTGTCACTCGCAAAAGTTGGCCTTCCTTTTGATGCTTTATTATGTGTGATTTCACTTGATAAATTACACTTGTACAGTGTCTGGTTCGTCCCTTTAAGGCTAAACTAAAGGTAACAAAAACATAATTCTTATTTCAGATGGTTATACACTAAAGAAAACATAGCTATGAATATTATATTACATT